CAGAAAGCAATGGGGGCCGTACAGGGCCCCTGACACATCTGGCCCTGGCAGAAGCTTTGAGGACCCGGGGAACAGGGGCCCTGAAGTTGGGGCCTGGCAGCGCGATGGGGAAGTCGGTTTAGGGGGGCCCATGGCAGTTTTGGGGCCTGGCAGCAGCAATGGGGGGGCTTTTACAGCCCCCTATGACAAAAGGGAAACCCCACAGCAGTGTGGGAGACCTGAAAGGGGCACATGGGCAGATTGACGGGCCTGGCAAGCAGCAATGGGGAGGCCGAACTGACAGCACCCTATGACAAAATGGAACCCACCAGCAGTGTGAGGAGAACCTGAAGAGTGGCACATGGCAGAGTGTGGCGATGGAGACAGCAGCAATGGGAGGCCGTACAGGGACCCATGACACACTCTGGACCTGGCAGCAGCATGAGGAGGCAGTACAGGGGCCCATGAAAGGGCCTGGCAGCAGCATGAGGAGTCGGTACGGGGGCCCATGGCAGATTACGGGCCTGGCAGCAGCAATGGGAGGCCCGTAAGCCAGCACAGCAATGGTGAGAGACCGTACAGTGGACACCCATGGCAGAGTGTGGCGGACCTGACAGCAGCAGCATGGGAGGCCGTACAGGGGCCCATGAGACAGATTACGGCCTGGCAGCAGCATGAGGAGTCGGTACGGGGGCCCATGGCAGATTACGGGCCTGGCAGCAGCAATGGGAGGCCCGTAATCTGCCAGCACCCTATGACAAAATGGAACCCACCAGCAGTGTGAGGAGACCTGAAAGTGGCACATGGCAGAGTGTGGCGATGGAGACAGCAGCAATGGGAGGCCGTACAGGGACCCATGACACACTCTGGACCTGGCAGCAGCAGCATGAGGAGGCGGTACAGGGGCCCATGACAGATTACGGGCCTGGCAGCAGCATGAGGAGTCGGTACGGGGGCCCATGGCAGATTACGGGCCTGGCAGCAGCAATGGGAGGCCCGTAATCTGCCAGCACCCTATGACAAAATGGAACCCACCAGCAGTGTGAGGAGACCTGAAAGTGGCACATGGCAGAGTGTGGCGATGGAGACAGCAGCAATGGGAGGCCGTACAGGGACCCATGACACACTCTGGACCTGGCAGCAGCATGAGGAGGCGGTACAGGGGCCCATGACAGATTACGGGCCTGGCAGCAGCATGGGGGCCCGTAGTCGGTACGGCAGGCCCATGGCAAATTACGGGCCTGGCAGCAGCAATGTGTGAGGAGACCTGACAAGTGGCACATGGCAGAGTGTGGCTCTGGAGACAGCAGCAATGGGAGGGGACCGTACAGGGACCCCATGACATGATTACTGGCCTGAGATTACCTGCAGCAGCATGAGGAGGCGGTACGGGGGCCCATGGCAGATTACGGGCCTGGCAGCAGCAATGGGAGGCCCGTAATCTGCCAGCACCCTATGACAAAATGGAACCCACCAGCAGTGTGAGGAGACCTGAAAGTGGCACATGGCAGAGTGTGGCGATGGAGACAGCAGCAATGGGAGGCCGTACAGGGACCCATGACACACTCTGGACCTGGCAGCAGCATGAGGAGGCGGTACAGGGGCCCATGACAGATTACGGGCCTGGCAGCAGCATGAGGAGTCGGTACGGGGGCCCATGGCAGATTACGGGCCTGGCAGCAGCAATGGGAGGCCGTACAGGGAATCTGCAGCACCCTATGACAAAATGGAACACCACCAGCAGTGTGAGGAGACCTGAGGTGGCACATGGCAGAGTGTGGCGATGGAGACAGCAGCAATGGGGGCCCAGGACCCATGACACATCTGGGCCTGGCAGCAGCATGAGGAGGCGGTACAGGGGCCCATGGCAGATTACGGGCCTGGCAGCAGCAATGGGAGGCCCGTAATCTGCCAGCACCCTATGACAAAATGGAACCCACCAGCAGTGTGAGGAGACCTGAAAGTGGCACATGGCAGAGTGTGGCGATGGAGACAGCAGCAATGGGAGGCCGTACAGGGACCCATGACACACTCTGGACCTGGCAGCAGCATGAGGAGGCGGTACAGGGGCCCATGACAGATTACGGGCCTGCAGCAGCATGGGAGGCCCGTACGGGGGCACCATGGCAGATTACGGAACTGGCAGCAGCAATGGGAGGCCTGAACAGGGACCCATGACACACTCTGGACCTGGCAGCAGCATGAGGAGGCCGTACAGGGGCCCATGACAGATTACGGGCCTGGCAGCAGCATGAGGAGTCGGTACGGGGGCCCATGGCAGATTACGGGCCTGGCAGCAGCAATGGGAGGCCCGTAATCTGCCAGCACCCTATGACAAAATGGAACCCACCAGCAGCAGTGAGGAGACCTGAAAGTGGCACATGGCAGAGTGTGGCGATGGAGACAGCAGCAATGGGAGGCCGTACAGGGACCCATGACACACTCTGGACCTGGCAGCAGCATGAGGAGGCGGTACAGGGGCCCATGACAGATTACGGGCCTGGCAGCAGCATGAGGAGTCGGTACGGGGGCCCATGGCAGATTACGGGCCTGGCAGCAGCAATGGGAGGCCCGTAATCTGCCAGCACCCTATGACAAAATGGAACCCACCAGCAGTGTGAGGAGACCTGAAAGTGGCACATGGCAGAGTGTGGCGATGGAGACAGCAGCAATGGGAGGCCGTACAGGGACCCATGACACACTCTGGACCTGGCAGCAGCATGAGGAGGCGGTACAGGGGCCCATGACAGATTACGGGCCTGGCAGCAGCATGAGGAGTCGGTACGGGGGGCCCATGGCAGATTACGGGCCTGGCAGCAGCAATGGGAGGCCCGTAATCTGCCAGCACCCTATGACAAAATGGAACCCACCAGCAGTGTGAGGAGACCTGAAAGTGGCACATGGCAGAGTGTGGCGATGGAGACAGCAGCAATGGGAGGCCGTACAGGGACCCATGACACACTCTGGACCCTGGCAGCAGCATGAGGAGGCGGTACAGGGGCCCATGACAGATACGGGCCTGGCAGCAGCATGAGGAGTCGGTAATCGGGGCCCATGGCAGATTACGGGCCTGGCAGCAGCAATGGGAGGAGACCCGTACAGGACAAAATGACCCATGAGGACACTGAAAGTGGACCAGAGTGGCGATGGAGACAGCAGCAAGGGAGGCCGTACAGGGGACCCCATGACAGATTCTGGCCTGGCAGCAGCATGAGGAGGGGTACGGGGGCCCATGGCAGATTACGGGCCTGGCAGCAGCAATGGGAGGCCCGTAATCTGCCAGCACCCTATGACAAAATGGAACCCACCAGCAGTGTGAGGAGACCTGAAAGTGGCACATGGCAGAGTGTGGCGATGGAGACAGCAGCAATGGGAGGCCGTACAGGGACCCATGACACACTCTGGACCTGGCAGCAGCATGAGGAGGCGGTACAGGGGCCCATGACAGATTACGGGCCTGGCAGCAGCATGAGGAGTCGGTACGGGGGCCCATGGCAGATTACGGGCCTGGCAGCAGCAATGGGAGGCCCGTAATCTGCCAGCACCCTATGACAAAATGGAACCCACCAGCAGTGTGAGGAGACCTGAAAGTGGCACATGGCAGAGTGTGGCGATGGAGACAGCAGCAATGGGAGGCCGTACAGGGACCCATGACACACTCTGGACCTGGCAGCAGCATGAGGAGGCGGTACAGGGGCCCATGACAGATTACGGGCCTGGCAGCAGCATGAGGAGTCGGTACGGGGGCCCATGGCAGATTACGGGCCTGGCAGCAGCAATGGGAGGCCCGTAATCTGCCAGCACCCTATGACAAAATGGAACCCACCAGCAGTGTGAGGAGGAGACCTGAAAGTGGCACATGGCAGAGTGTGGCGATGGAGACAGCAGCAATGGGAGGCCGTACAGGGACCCATGACACACTCTGGACCTGGCAGCAGCATGAGGAGGCGGTACAGGGGCCCATGACAGATTACGGGCCTGGCAGCAGCATGAGGAGTCGGTACGGGGGCCCATGGCAGATTACGGGCCTGGCAGCAGCAATGGGAGGCCCGTAATCTGCAGCACCCCTATGACAAAATGGAACCCACCAGCAGTGTGAGGAGCTGAAAGTGGCACATGGCAGAGTGTGGCGATGGAGACAGCAGCAATGGGAGGCCGTACAGGGACCCATGACACACTCTGGACCTGGCAGCAGCATGAGGAGGCGGTACAGGGGCCCATGACAGATTACGGGCCTGGCAGCAGCATGAGGAGTCGGTACGGGGCCCATGGCAGTAATCTGCAGCAGCAATGGGAGGCCCGTAATGCCAGCACCCTATGACAAAATGGAACCCACCAGCAGTGTGAGGAGACCTGAAAGTGGCACATGGCAGAGTGTGGCGATGGAGACAGCAGCAATGGGAGGCCGTACAGGGACCCATGACACACTCTGGACCTGGCAGCAGCATGAGGAGGCGGTACAGGGGCCCATGACAGGGGGCCTGGCAGCAGCATGAGGATTACGGGGCCCATGGCAGATTACGGGCCTGGCAGCAGCAATGGGAGGCCCGTAATCTGCCAGCACCCTATGACAAAATGGAACCCACCAGCAGTGTGAGGAGACCTGAAAGTGGCACATGGCAGAGTGTGGCGATGGAGACAGCAGCAATGGGAGGCCGTACAGGGACCCATGACACACTCTGGACCTGGCAGCAGCATGAGGAGGCGGTACAGGGGCCCATGACAGATTACGGGCCTGGCAGCAGCATGAGGAGTCGGTACGGGGGCCCATGGCAGATTACGGGCCTGGCAGCAGCAATGGGAGGCCCGTAATCTGCCAGCACCCTATGACAAAATGGAACCCACCAGCAGTGTGAGGAGACCTGAAAGTGGCACATGGCAGAGTGTGGCGATGGAGACAGCAGCAATGGGAGGCCGTACAGGGACCCATGACACACTCTGGACCTGGCAGCAGCAAGAGGAGGCGGTACAGGGGCCCATGGCAGAGTGGCGAAGCGTAAGCAGCTTAAATTGAAGGCCATACAGAGGCCTATGTTAAAAATAATAACATGTTTGGGGCATGATTCATGGCGGATTTAGTCAGTTGTGTCAGGAACTGGTGGTTTGAAATCCAGACTAATCCACGCCTGATTCATTTTCACAAACGTGAGTCTCTCCACACTTTGGGTGGACAGTCGTGTCCTCCGCGGAGTTACAATACCTCCTGCCGCACTAAACACGCGCGCTCCGATGCCACGCTACTGGCCGGGCATGACAGCCTTTCAAGGGCAAATTCAGCTAGTTGGGGCCAAAGGTCAAGTTTCGTTGCCCAGTAGTCAAGGGGATTGTCTACCTCGGTTGGCAGGGTGCTGTCCAAGTAGGCCCAAGCCTGTTGTTTGAGGTCCTGCTCCAGGTCCACCTGATGCTGCTGCTGCTGCGGCTGGTTAGTAGTTTCCTCACTGCGCTGGTGAAGAAAGCTACTCATCATCGACTGCAGACTGAGGCAGCCGCTGCTGCTGGTGGAGCTGCCACTGCTCCTACCACCCCCACCCCTCCCCTGCTGCCATGGCAGCGGAACGCGAGCGCACAGGGCCCACAGTGTCTGAGGATGGACGTTGGCGCAGAAAGGCAGAGACCAACTGACTACATAGGTGGTTTTTATAGTACGTTATTTTGGCCTCCCTCTCAGCAGGTGTGAAAAAGGCCCACCATTTTTGAACGGTAGCGAGGGTCCAACAAGGTGGACAGCCAAAAGTCATCCCTCTGTCTGATGGTTATTATTCGGCTGTCGCTACGCAAGCAACCGAGCATGCTATGGGCCATTTGTGCCAAGGAATGCGAGGGACTCCCTGCCTCCATCTCCACAGCATACTGCCACGGTGCGTCTGGGTCCTCTGTCTCCTCCTCCTCCTCTACCAGATGCTCCTGCTCCTCCACTCCTGTCCGCTGAGTGGAAAAACCACCCATTTCACTCAATAATTCCTGAGCACCAATGTCCTCCTCTACCTCCTCCTCTTCTTCCTGTCCTGCCCCCCCCACAGGGGTCATGTGGCGTTGAGATCTGTGCGCCACGTCTACCGCACCCTGACCAGCCATTGTTAACAGCATTTGTTCCAGGACGTGCAACAGAGGAATGACGTCGTTCATCCCATAGTCCTGCCGACTCACGAATAGCGTGGCCTCCTCAAAGGGCCTGAGCAGAGCGGCAGGTGTCACGCATGAGCTGCCAATGGCTGACATCTAAGTTACACAGGGGAGTACCTTTATCCGCTTGTAACATCAGGAAATCGGTGATGGCCTTTCGCTGTTCGTAAAGGCGGTCTAACATATGTAGGGTTGAATTCCACCTTGTTGCAACGTCGCAGATCAGGCGATGCTGTGGAATTCCGTTCTGCCCGCTGCAGCTCAAGGAGGGTGTGCTTTGCGGTGTAGGAATGGCTGAAATGCATGCAAAGTTTACGTGACATTTTAAGGATGTCTTGCAGTGGGATGGTGGATTTTAGGAACCGCTTGACAACCAGATTGAACACGTGAGCCATGCATGGCGCATGGCACAACCTTCCTTGACGCAGAGCAGACACCATGTTCTTTCCGTTGTCGGTCAACATGGTTCCGATTTTCAGTTTGCGCGGAGACAGCCATCTGTCGATTTCTCTGTTCATTACACTCAGAAGTTCCTCCCCTGTGTGACTACTACGTTCGCCAAGGCATACCAGGTGCAGCACAGCGTGACACCGTTGCGCCCTGCACATGTGATATGCCGGTCGGGTAATGGGACTTGGCACGGGGGTGGCGGCTGAGGACACGGCGGAAGAAGAGGTGGTAGAGGCGGACATCTTTGCTGGACCAAGGACGTGCAAACGTGGAGGCAAAAGCGGCGTGACCTGTCCAAGTTGCTGGTGCGGCTGTGCCGGCACCACGTTCACCCAGTGGGCCGTAAATGACATGTACTGTCCCTGACCGTAGTTTACAGCTCCACACGTCGGCGCTGCCGTGCACTTTGGCAGAGACCGACATGCTCAAAGACTGGCCCACCATCTCTTCTACATGTGAATGCAGGGCTGGCACTGCCTTTTTGGCGAAGAAATGCCGGCTTGGCACTCTCCACCGCGGCGCGGCACAAGCCATCATTTCTCGGAAAGGTGCTGAGTCCACCACTTGGAAAGGGAGGGACTGCAGCACCAGCAACTTGGACAGGAGGACGTTCAGCTTCTGCACCGTCGGGTGCGTGCTCGCAAACTGTTGTCTCTTGGAAACGGATTCCAAGAAAGACTGCTGACGGAATCCGTGAAGAGGAGTAGCAGGAGAAGGAGCATCTGAACGAGCGGAAGATGCCAACGAGCGACAACTCCCCTCAGCAGAGGTGTTGGAGCCTTGACTGGCTGATAGAGGGCGATTGACGTCGGGTGACGGAGCAAGTAACGGAGCGGGTGATGGAGCGGGGGCTGGGGCAGGCAGAAACCGCCGTATCTTTATCACGGTTTTCCCCAGGCCACCGAATGGCGACGCTGCATATGCTGACGCAACGCTGTAGTCCCAACATGGGCCCCCTGGCCACGCTTGACTTTCTGGCCACATAGTCGACATACGGCTACGTTTACTTCCTCGGGCGGCTTGACGAAAAATTGCCACACCGCCGCCGAGTAGGAAACTTTGCCCCCGCTACTCCTCACTGGCTGACTGCTACTTCCTCCATGCACACCGGCACCACTACTGGCCGTGGTGGTAGGCTGCAGTGGAGCTGGTGCTCTACTCCGTGGCCGTTTGCCTCCACTGACACTGCTGCGACCCTGCTGCCTCCTGGGCAACCCACCCGACTGTTTTGCTCGCTGCCAAGCTGGCACCCTCTTCTCCTGATGATGCGGAAGCAATAGCCTGATGACGACGAGGCTGCCAAGTGCGATCAGCCTCATCATCATCAATTAGGGTCTCCGCCTCACTACTAGCCCCCTCGGCTGCGTGTGGGTCAGGAGACAGACCTGTCTCTAGACCGGCTACCGAGCCACTCTCCTCGCCAGTACTTCTTCGCCTGGCTGCTGAAGAGGCGGATGTCTCCCCCCGTTCCTGACCGCCCTCTGTTAGCTCTTCCTCACTGTACAGTGGGGCTGAGCCCACAGCATGCGATACTTCGCTTGGTGAGGGAACAGCAAAGGACAGGGGCAGGTAGAGGACACGTGATTTCAGTGGGCTTGCTCCCGGGACATGCCAACTAACGGTTGTGTCTGACGTACCCACCGACCGTTGGCTGTAGGTGTCAGAGGTGACCTGGGAAGAGGAAGACGACCGAGCCAACCAATCGATGACGGCAGGGTTGTCGGTGGAGACACGACCGCTGGATGACACCGGGAGCACTGGCCTCTGGCTGCGACTAGTGCTGCCTCGACCCCTTCCTCTGCTGCCACGTCTGCTCGCTCCTGAAACATTGCCTCCTCTGCCACTCCTCTGCGTGTTGTCTGACATACTCTTTAATTCAACGATTCTGTGTCCCTGAGTAACGATTCTGTGTCCCTGAGTAACAATTCTGTGTCCCTGAGTAACAATTCTGTGTCCCTGAGTAACGATTCTGTGTCCCTCAGTAACGATTCTGTGTCCCTCAGTAACGATTCTGTGTCCCTGAGTAACGATTCTGTGTCCTGAGTAACGATTCTGTGTTCCTGAGTAACAATTCTTTGTCCCTGAGTAACGATTCTGTGTCCCTGAGTAACGATTCTGTGTCCCTGAGTAACGATTCTGTGTCCCTCAGTAACAATTCTGTGTCCCTGAGTAACGATTCTGTTTCCCTGAGTAACAATTCTGTGTCCCTGAGTAACGGTTTCTGTGTCCCTGAGCAACGATTCTGTGTCCCTGAGTAACAATTCTGTGTCCCTGAGAAAACAATTCTGTGTCCCTGAGTAACAATTCTGTGTCCCTGAGTAACAATTCTGTGTCCCTGAGTAACGATTCTGTGTCCCTGAGTAACAATTCTGTGTCCCTGAGTAACAATTCTGTGTCTGTCCCTGAGTAACAATTCTGTGTCCCTGAGTAACAATTCTGTGTCCCTGAGTAACGATTCTGTGTCCCTCAGTAACAATTCTGTGTCCCTGAGTAACAATTCTGTGTCCCTGAGTAACAATTCTGTGTGTGTCCCTGAGTAACATTTCTGTGTCCCTGAGTAACGATTCTGTGTCCCTGAGTAACGATTCTGTGTCCCTGAGTAACAATTCTGTGTCCCTGAGTAACGATTCTGTGTCCCTCAGTAACAA